AGGAAGAACAAGTACTCCCTTTGGAGTTGATTTTTTAAAATATTGAAGTTAAATGCATCAATCTGGTGCACTTTGAGAGCAAAATGAAGAGATATATGGATACCTCTCAACATCCATATGAAACAACTGTAAACAGATTTACTTTGTCTTTATGGATTCGATTGTGGACTTGATTGTGATTGATGCACATTATCCCTTACTTAATAAATACTTTTTTTGATAATCTATTATATAGAAAAGTATATCATATTGATATATAATATATAATTTATTGATAATATATAATATAATCAAATATAACAATCAAAACGAAATAAGTAGTATTAAGTATGAGGGCTAAGAAAATATTGTACATGTGAAATAGTTGTATGTATTGATTTAAATTGACATGCATACGCTAAGAAAAATAGTCCGTTGTTACTGTTTGAACTAACGTACCAACGGCACTGAACATATTACATATTACCTACTTATATTCTTTATCCAAACTCAACCTCACAATCTAGTACACACTTTTAAACCCCACCCTGTATTTTTCACCAGTATTTTAATACAAATAAAATATCTAATACAATATTTTTACCTGTTTCACTTATTGCCAAATATTTATCGATTGATCTTCATCTTTCCTCCACTTTCTATCTTCTTCGTTTTTTTACATCTCAACTACTGTCTAAATTTTCATTGTATTTCTTCAAGTTTTTATCTTGTGGTCGATGCACTAAGCGTCAGCTATATATATTCAAACATATATATTACCTAATAATAGAATTACTAATGTATTCTACACCAAAAACCCCATTTTCACCTCCAATATCTATTAGTACACAAACAGATAAACAACCCTATCGATACAAGCTTTTACAGATCGAATTCAGAAGAATAAAAAAAATTAAACAACAAGTACAGACACAAAATGTATTCTTTAATACTCAACCTGCCCTTTATTGAACCAGCTTTAATCGTATTCATACTACGTCTTTCCCAGTTAGTCGATTGAACCAGGCGTGAACGATATTCCATTTTCTCACACTTCGACAAGACTAAGGTGAACTTCCTTCTGTGTACCTGCCGAATACTAACACTTATTTAAACTGTGGTTAACACCCTGACAAAAGAAGGACTTCAACATATTTTAACATACTCTAATTTTAGACGTTCAGACCTTTCCTGCACAATCTAATCCTTAAAAAATACCAAAAAAATAGTATTCAAAAAAGATCCATATTTCATTCAAAAAATAGTGTACTTCCTTACAAGACCACCTGCACCATCACATTAAGCTAATGTTTATAAAATTTCTCAGCTGTCCTTACACTCTTCACAAAACCTTTTCAAACTTTGATCTTCCTCATTGACCCAATTCTTATCCGCACTATATCTTTATACTGTCCGAACCATGAATTAATAACACTAGCGCAAGCAAGAAAACTATCTCACATATTTAACACTAAATCCCAACACAACATGTTACCTAATTTAGCTAGTTCCTTATCTACTAAAGGATACCAGACAGTACACTCTCTGTGTAGTCTGCACGTTTGCACAAGTTAAGCTTATGTCTTATAAAACACAAGGTCATGTCTCTACAAAGATACACTGACAGAATTGTCACATATGCTTATTTCTCACATACTCTCTCAATATAACATTCATTTAACATGTTGGCCACAACGGCATGTCCAAATGATAGCGATCATCATTCCAACTTTTTATTAATTTATATCCTGAAATATTTTTGATACATGAAGCACCTTCCTACAACAATATTCACCAACTTATAAACACTAATATACGCGTATAACAATGCTCTGCTATAAAGAACTCACAAAATTCACTAATCCTACTCAGTCAATATACTATTTGAAATAAATCTAAAATAAAAATAAGCATAAAGGTGGAAAAATAACTACTCATGTAATATAAATATATCCTTCATTTTTTCAGTATCATTTTTCTTCTCCCCTCCTACAAATTATATATAAATCTTACTATACTTATTTTCACCTCTCAGGTATCGTCACATACGGTATATATCTGGGTATAGAATATTCATGTATTTTCATTTTATTCTATTTTTAATTTAGACTTGAATTAAGTTGAGTCGCTCTTAATTTATTCCTTGTAATAATAAAAAAAAACCTTATTTTTTATGCTTAGATTTAAATTCTTTCATTTTTTTTATACTTTTAATTTTTTTATTTGTGTGTTCTATTATGTGTATATTTTTTCTCAACTCTTCTGCCTAGTCATCGCCTATCTAGGTACATGCACTTTTCAAATATATGAGCTGCAGTGTTGGCAGCTTCCGTTTGGCGTCTTTCTATATCCGGCTACAGCGTTTGTCCCTGCATTCCTCAATAAAATCTATTAATGGAATCTATGATCAATATGATCACATTTAATATTATAATTTGATATTATCTTACTGCTTCTGAGTCCTGTAACATTTATCATGGTTTTCTTTCGTCATTACATTTACTATCAATCTCAGACTGCAATTAATGCATCTTCTGTGTATCTGAGTACAGTAAAGAACAACATTTCATCTTGTTTTCTTTTGAACCAAATGGGAGACCTTTTAACAAAATTGAGGAGATAATAATCAGAAAGTTGCTAAAAATTTATTTTTATTAATTTTCCTTAATCAGGTTTCTTTATTCCTCTAAAACCTATTACTTTAACCTGTTGAGTATTCGGTATAGATTCTGTCTGCTGTTTTTACCACTCAGACGCCCATATATGCATCGCATATACTAGTCTAATGTTTGTCTTTATTTTTATATCAATATCGATTCGTTAATTTTCTATATGTTATTTAAGCTTCTTTTTTATATTCCTACGAACCACGAGGCTTAGTTATGTCTTTGTAACTAAACCCTGACAGTATCACCAGTGTGGCAAAAAGTCTGGCTCATTTAATTTACATTTATTTAAACTCAAATCATTTCTTTTTCTTAAATATATTTTTATAACTTTTCATATTTTCCATGGTTTTATATATCAACTTAAAATCTGTTGAAAACTACGATACCGTATAAAAAATTGCATGTTTTTTGCTATTGCCAATTCTTCTAAAGAATACACAGTATATATGTGTAATACTGTTCACACCGACCTGCCCAAAGCTCTGCTAGCATCTAACGCAGAAACTAAGAGACTTCATGTGAGTGTAGAATAAATCTAGGCCTTCACTCTCATAAATTCTTTTTATCAGAGTATGAACAAGAACATACGTATATATTATGTTATTGAATATTATAACTTAACACCTCTATCACCTTACAAATACTCACTTATTTCTCTCTTTTCAACTCCGTTATTTAAAATTATCTTAGATAACAATAGACGCCCAATCTTTTTATTTAAGATCATAGTTCTTTCTCTTTTATTTCGCTAGTTCATATTTCAAGACCTTCTACCACAATTCTTTCGTTCTACTGTTCACTTTTTGTCAACGATATTGTCATTAGTTACTGCATGTCATACTTCTATTCATCATGACCTTCGCTTATTGTTTACTTTACGTCAGTAATTAAAACAATTGTTGAAAATTACAAATTTATTTCCTTCCATGCTACTAAATAACTTCTCGTCATCGTTCGTTTTAGTCATGAGTTTAATCAAATTATATTGATTTAATCCTTTGTAATCATATTCTCAGGTTATACTAAATGTTGTATTTTCAGACTGTTAAGCCTTGAAATGATCTTTCTTAAATTAATTTCTGCTTATCTAAGATCAGGATTAATATTGTTTATTTCATGCGTGTTACTTCAGTTTTATCAACATGATACCATTCTCTCCAAATTAATTCCACAGAAATACGATTGAGTTCCTTTTATTTAATATAAATATAACGCCTGTCTTATATACACATACTCTCTCCTTTATATTTGTATCTATGTGTTTGCTNNGTTTTTCTTCAAGTTTTATTGTATTTCTTCAAGTTTTTATCTTGTTGGTCGAATGCACTTAAGCGTCAGCTAAATGCAATGTAATGTAATGATCAAAAAACCCCTCTATACGTCTAGACAGCGTGGGTAAATTACCGTACAGCCAATCACAATGCGTGACGTCATTGACGTCATTACGTCGTGACGTCACTGGTAAGGACGGACCCCGAACACATATGGTACCCCGAACACATCTGGTACCGACACCGGCTATTCCCCAGAGCAGGGGTAGCCAACGCGGTGCCCGCGGGCACTAAGTCGCCCACAGGGGGGAAATTGGTCGCCCGCGTGC